CAATTAAGGGTTTTAAAGCAGAATTAGTGCTCAGGGATGAGGCACCCATTTTTAAAAAGGCTTATGAGGTGCCATATAGATTAAGGGACAGGGTGGATGAATATCTGGACAAATTAGAAAAAGAAAGGGTCATTACACCTATAGATACCAGTGATTGGGCATCACCCATTATTATTGTGATGAAGAAAAATAATGATATACGACTGGTTATTGATTGCAAAGTATCGATTAATAAGTCTATCGTACCGAACACTTATCCGTTACCAACAGCACAAGACATTTTTGCGAATTTGGCGGGATGCAATTTTTTCTGTGCACTTGACTTGGAAGGTGCTTATACTCAATTAGAACTGACAGAAAGATCCAAAAAGTTTGTGGTGATTAATACTATGAAAGGCTTGTATACTTACAATAGATTACCGCAAGGTGCGTCTTCCAGTGCGTCTATTTTTCAGCAGGTAATGGATAAAGTGTTGGAAGGGATTGCAAATGTGTCATGCTACCTAGATGATGTCTTGATTGCAGGAAAAACACTGGAGGAATGCAAGAGCAAGCTTATAATGGTTTTGGAGAGGTTAGCAAAAGCTAACATTAAGGTAAATTTTGAAAAATGCAAGTTTTTTGTGACAGAACTCACATATCTGGGGCACATCATAAGTGAGAGGGGGCTGATGCCCTGTCCAGACAAAATTTCCACCATTGAAAAAGCAAAGGCGCCGGGAAATGAATCTGAATTAAAATCTTTCCTGGGTTTAATTAATTATTATCATAAATTCATTCCACATTTATCATCTAAACTATACCATTTATACAATTTATTAAAGAGCAACGTGAAGTACATCTGGGATGACAACTGCCAAAGGGCATTTGAGGACGGTAAAGCGTCATTGTTGAAGGCAAACCTTTTAGAATTTTATGACCCAAAGAAACCAATAGTGGTTGTCACGGATGCGTCAAGCTATGGTCTAGGGGGGTTAATAGCTCACGTGGTGGATGAAATTGAGAAACCAATAAGTTTCACATCTTTTTCACTAAATCAGGCACAAAAGAAATATCCTATTTTGCATTTGGAGGCGTTAGCGCTAGTATGTACCATCAAAAAGTTTCATAAGTATCTTTATGGGCAACCTTTTACGGTTTACACAGATCATAAGCCATTGGTTGGAATTTTTGGCAAGGCGGGTAAAAACTCGATTTATGTTACCAGACTCCAGAGGTTTATTTTGGACTTAGCAATATATGATTTCAACATTATTTATAGACCTTCAAATAAGCTGGGAAATGCAGACTTTTGTTCAAGATTCCCCTTACAGCAGAATGTTCCTGAAGATTTGGATGCAGCTACGATTAAAAGCATAAATTTTGGGAAGGATATACCCATGGATTCGAAAATGAAAGCAGAAAGTACTAAGGATGACGAATTTTTGCAGAAAATTAAATGGTTTATGCTCAATGGTTGGCCTGATAGAGTGGACAAGCGTTTTGCGGATGTTTACGCAAATCAGCAGGACCTGGAATTAGTGGATGGATGCCTACTTTATGCAGATAGGGTGATTATACCGAAAGTGCATCAAAGGCAAATACTGGTACTTTTGCATAACAACCATGCTGGTATAGTGAAAATGAAACAGTTAGCGAGACGCATGGTCTATTGGTTCGGCATCAATAGCGACATTGAAAGATATGTGACAGGCTGTGATGCCTGCAATGGCATGGCTGCTTACAAGGAAACGAAGGATAAGTCTAAATGGACACCGACAACAAGGCCTTTCAGTAGAATCCATGTGGATTTCTTCTTTTTTGAGCATCGTACTTATCTGTTGATAGTTGACAGTTTTTCTAAGTGGATTGAAGTGGAGTGGATGAAGCAAGGAACAGATTGTAATAGGGTATTAAAAAAACTAGTGGCGTTTTTTGCGCGTTTCGGTTTACCTGATGTTTTAGTGTCGGACAACGGTCCTCCTTTCAATTCGCATGGTTTTATAAGTTTTCTTGAGAGGCAAGGTGTCAGGGTAATGAAAAGTCCCCCTTACCACCCTTCGAGCAATGGACAAGCTGAGAGATTAGTGAGAACAGTAAAGGAAGTACTTAAGACATTCCTATTGGAACCAAATATTGCACTATTAGATATGGAGGATCAGATAAACCTTTTTTTGTTTAACTTCAGAAATTACAACCTGACTAGCGACGGGCATTTTCCGTCTGAAAGAATATTTTCATATACGCCAAAGACTCTTTTGGACTTGGTAAACCCAAAAAAACATTACAAGAAGCAACTAGCTTTACCACAGCCTGCGGATGAAATCATCCAACAAGAGTTGGTCGGGACAATCCCGAGGCATTCACAGGATGCTATTGATAAACTGAAGGCTGGAGATGAAGTGTGGTATAAGAACCACAATCCTTCCCTTCATTCAAGATGGTTAAAAGCAATCTTTATTAAAAAGTACTCTCACAATGTATTCCAGGTACAAATTGGAAGCGTAGGCGCGATGGCGCATCGTTCACATATTAGGCCTTACCGAGAGGTCGTCTGGGAGTACCCGAATATTATTGTCACTGTGAAAACGCCTAGGACAGTTACGAACTGCGAGCCGGACAGTACCACGAGGGTGGATGTTAGTGACAGTGGAGCAGACGACATCGGTAGTGAGGAGTTGAAGGCCCCGAGTGGGGGAAAAAAAAGGAAACATCAGGAAGTGACAGTGACAGAGGAACCCAGAAGGTCGAAGAGAAATAAGAAGGAGAAGAAACTTGAAGACTTCTGTTATGATTATTAATATGAGTATTTTGAATTGATTGTGGTTGACGAAGGTCAAATTTTGAATTGATAGCCTGTTTAAAAAGGGAAGAATTGTGGCATACCGGCGCATTTATCACAGCGTCAAGCTGTCAAGTGACGCTGCGATGTTTTGTTTCCGCCCAACTGGCAGCACTGCTGGCAGCATAAAAAGATAAACAAAATATACGGAAGAGTTCAGTTGACTCGTGAGCTTAAAGCAAACTAGTCTATTTTCATTATACGGTCCGGTAGTTTCTCCTCTATTCCCAGTGAAATTAATACTTGCCATACGAACATAAAAATCACGAGGGAATGGTTCAACGCAATAACAACCGAAGTGGACAGCTCACTTCGTACAGAAATTGATATGTAGGTACGCAAGGAGTGGTATCGAACTAATGACATGTGCTATTTAACGGTACTTATCTTACTGAGGACAAATAAGAAGAGTACATTTCCATATTTGTTGGCTCTGAAACTTCTGTCTAATACTACAACCTCGGTCCCTTGAGAGCGTTTGGTTTCGAAAACACGGCGAATACTGTACGATGTAGGCTCGAAGAGTGGACAGAATATTTTTGTTTGGGTAATGTCGATGTTTTTGATATTCCAAATGCATTATGAAGTTGGAAGAGAATGAAATATGTTTAATGTATTTTCCATTGAATATTGGATATCGGATCCGATATCGATACTCAAAATCGGATATCGAAATAATATCGATATTTTCAGAGACCGATATCGATATTGTCGATAAATACGACCTCGTCACAGCACTATTCAAGAGTGTTTTCAACGACTCAACGACCGCCGATAATCACATATCAGTCTCCTATTTGCTTGATTTACAGATTTACTATTCACATGTGACAGTTATGCGATTATGGTTGCTGTAGTATCGAAGAGTTTTATCAAAATAAGTATTTCTGAATATTATCCCAGCTCATTGCATGGTTCCTTGACTCATAATAATAGTTTGATAATTCGCTCCAGAATTATTTTCGGAAAATCCCGGGAATTTAGATAAAATCTACACGGAAAACAAAACTATCCAACGGTTGAGTTGGCTTTGCTCTTTGTTTTTTGACTACAAACGTGAGAGTGAACGCAACGCATAACTCAATAGTAAGTTTACAGCGAATCTCTCACGTTTGTAGTCAAAAAAGGAAGAGCACACTCTAAAAAATCTTCACGTTAATGCTACGTGAAAAATCACGTAACCTCTTTAACCCCCCCCCTTCGATCATTTTCACGTGGCTCACGTCAATGTTAAATTAAATTTTGATAAAATTTACGTGATATTCATGGTCTTCAGATGCGGGAAGCTAACGGTTAAGTGGTGCACAACTTAATATTGAGTATGTAGTTTGAAGTTAACGTTGGGTGAACACCACTTAGTAGTAAGCAGCTCATTTACATGTGCGCGAATGACAACTATCGTGTGGTGTCCGTTCACCGCTCACTTTAGAGCAAAATCAAGTTCAAATCGTTAATAAAATAACATGAAGGTCATTATCATAAGATTGTGGATAAAATATAAAACATCCGAAACAATGCTGTTAAAATTGATTTCGAGGCATACCTATTAGTGCCCGTAACCAGGGGTTATATTCACCGCTCATGTCGTAGTGGAAATATTTACTGTTTGAATTGTCTATCTTTTCGGGCCATTTGAAGCATTATAAGTTTGTAAGTTATTGAGGTTAGATATTGATTAAACATTCGCCTTTGTTATGCAATATTGGTAGTAATGTCTATTTTAAGTTTATTTTTTAAGGGAGCGGTGAAGGGAATCCTTGATCGTTGTTGGGTCTCCAATCACTTCTCATATGGATGTAAACAAAAAAAAACATTTTTTCGACAATAACCAATGAAATAAATGTGCCGATGGCAGCTTAAACGAGATAATTAATCGGTTAAACGCATGTTTGGAACTCATGTTGGGAACTTTTTCAACCAATTTTGACAAAATGAACCGTGAATGGATGTCGAACGGTGAACGGGCACCACACGGTACTTCAAGCCTTTTAACTCGAAATCAACTTCCCTTACGCAACCTTCGACCTGGGTGAATGGAACTTAATATTAGAAATTTTCTTCGGGAAATCCCGGAATTTCACGGGAAAGACCATCTTAGCTGCACCATGACCCAGGAACGCCCAGCGTTCGAAAGAGCCCGTCACATATTCATACACGATATCAATATTCAAATACTTACTGTCCCCTCTCCGGACTGGACACAGCCTCCTCGCCGGCACTATTGCTATTGCTGTCTACACCATTCGGCACCGGTGGCAGCATTGCGTTGGCATCGAACGATTTGTCTCCGCCTTCACCACGGTTCGATTCCAACGTCGATGTATTACTATTGGCAGCCGTTGCCGTCGCACTGGTCGTCATTGTTGCCGTCGTCGAAGTCATCGCCGACGAAGACGAACTGGTTATCGTTGTATCGTCCAGCACGGAGCTTTCGATGTTATCACTATTGTCTTCATCGTCACTGTCATCACCGTTCTGATCGCTATCGTTCTCCTCAATAAGCTCTTCCTCTTCGCTACTCGATGCACCGCTATCGGCGGAACTGTTCGCCTCGTGCACCTTGTCTAGCGAGCTCTCCTTCGGCAACGGTGGCAACGGTCGATCCTTACTGATCTCGTATTGCTTGCTCTTCTCCAGGTTCACTAAGTTGTTCACCATATCCCGTTCGTTGCACGTAATCAAATCTTCGTGGACACTCTCGCTGTTCGGAATCGTTGGTAATGGTTTTTGGGCGATCATGAGCGAATGCGACCGAGGCGGCGGTAAAGGCGGTGGGGTATCGTCGTTCTCCTGATCCGAGGTGGCTTGGTTGTTGACTGCCACAACGGACAGCTCTTCAAAGTCCTCGAATGACTACAAGAAAACATGAAAAATAGTAATTATCAATTCCAAATATTTCAAATTTGTAACCGTAGTTCGTACTTACCGAATTATTCATACGTTTCATGCCCTCGATGATAGCTTGATATGAAAAGTACAGTTGATCAACAGTCTGTATCAGCCCCATGCGGTATCGCCGCAGTTCCAGAAGCACATCCTGAACGGACACTTTGTCCTCTCCCTCTTTGTCGATCTGCATACAAAAACAAAAATTCAAATTGAGCTACTCGCACCCGATCGTCTTAGGCTTCACAACTCACCAACACCAGACAGCAGTCCACCAGACAAAACGTACCGGACCGGCCGATTCCTGCACTGCAGTGTATGATAGGTGGACCGACATCCTTGTCTAGCGCTCCCGACTCGCGAACCTCCTTCAAAAACTGTAGAAATGCTACCGGTGAACTGGGAATGCCAAAGTCCGGCCACGTGGTGTAATGAAACTGTACCACCTCGCGCGTTTTACTCGATTCCAAGTCTTTTAATCTGTATGTTTATAAATCGAAAAAAAAAACAAAGCCATTCAACGACTAGTCTAACACATGGTTTTACGCTGTCGTGATTCACATCCCCATTAGACAGGGGTTTCCTCTGTTTTCTAATTCATTCTTAAATTATCAGCGCAATCAACAACCGATTAGACAACCTTGAAAACAGAAATAACGAGAAATCACTCCACTCACCGGAAAGTCCTTTTGCAGAAGTTTTTATACTCGACACACTTGACGTACTCAATCGCTAGCTGCACGTCCGGTAGGTCCAGTTTGTGTTCCTCTCCGATCTTTTCCGGCCAGTACAGGTGGCACTTGATCTGTTTCTTTTCGATCAGTTTGTTCAGCATCAGGATCGCCCGGGAGTTGTAGTCCCACACCATCAGCCAAAAGTGTCCGACGGTGAGCGGTAGCGGGCCCTGGCATAGGATGTACTTCCGGTCGGCTTGTTCCATCTGTCGGGGGTGGAATTTTTATATTATAGGTGTTATCAAATTTGTTCCTTTGTTCACTTTCTGGCGACTCAGAGTGCCAATCGCTCCGAACAGAAATTAAAAAAAAATGTTGTTCCGTAGGTGACTAACGCAATCTAAACGCTGCAGTAAATTATGAAATTTTAAGCTTAGAAAAGAAAAGCTATCGATCAAGCAAAGGAATTGTTTGCTCGGTGACCAGCAAATCTTGATTAGAAATTAACCGGTTTTCTCCGTTTATTTCCCGGAATTTTTTTAAATTTCCCCGCTTGTTTTTTTTTTAAATCATTATTTAAGAGATTTTTAGCCGAAGGCTAGTCCATCTCTAGCTTTCCCCGCTTGTGCGATATGTTCAACTTAAGCATAACAATCAATGTTTAACCTAGTGAACCGAAGACATAACTAGGTCAGGGCTGGTAGTGCTGATGCGATATAATAAAGCTCGATTCAAAGTAAATCTGGACGCACGGTTTAATACACCACCGCGCCCCTGGTGGTTGGAACAAAAAACGTTTGACGTTTGGTCGTGGGGATGTCCCTTACAGGTATACATTTGTGTTTGCTGATAAGTTTACTCGGAAACTAATGATTTAGCAAAGAATCTGCAGTTGTGGCCTTAAAACCAAGGTTTTCATCACATCTCACAAAATGATGTCAAAGGTTTACATTAAAGAGTGTCTGAAAAAGCGGATTTTACTCTTCATTCGGCAACACAAGACCAACGTTATGCTTTGGCCGGATCTAGCCAGCTGCCACTACTCTAAGGAGGTACTAGAATGGTATGCTGCAAACAATGTTAATTTCGTCGCCAAAGAGATTAATCCTCCGAATTGCCCTGAGTTCAGACCGATCGAAAAATATTGGGCAATTGTCAAGCAAAAACTTCGAGGATGCGCACAAGTAAAGTGCGACAGTTCGTTCGAAACGGTAAAATGTAATAACTTGTTATATATCGTTTGAAAGCTGAATAAATACCCTTTTGTTTGACGTTTGACTAAAATTACGGATATAATGACCAAATAGTGACTTTTAAATAATAACTAAGTAACCAATAGTGACATTTATATGGTGACTTAGAAATTCAAATACGGTTTGAAATTGAAATAAGAAGAAGAAGTTATCTTGGTAGCTCCACATGCGCCAACAAGTGAAAGAAAAGAATAGATTTGTTTTGTAATTTTGAGAAATTTTGATACTTTACCACAGTGAAAGCATAATATGAAAATTGTAAAAAGAAGTGTAAACAAATGAATATAATTATGTATATTTAAAAAATTGATTGATTCCATGTAAAATTGCAAATTTTATAAGGGTTTAAATCATTCTTGAAGACCAAATTATGGCCTACAAGACTATGATAAAACCAAAATTGTTACTTAGGATGAGTATACATTATCTTTCCCGGTGCGATTTGGGTTTTCCCGCATTTTTCCCGGTTTTTCCCCGGCAAATCACATCAAAAGGTTGACTTAAATATATAAAATCCATAAATCCTGAAACTGATGGTTTAGGCCCAAACATTTTTGACTTCTTAAATAATCTAGATAAACGTTTCAAAAGGTCCCATGTGCATTGATCGATTCTTTTCACCGACATTCTCTTTCCTTAATAACTCTGTTGCAAAAACTTTCCCTGTTGTATTTAACATTGAGGACGCTAGATGCGAACCTCTTTTATCAAACTATGTGGTAAAAATAATTCAAAATCAATTTGCATAGCATAGTTCGATCAAAGCAGATAGGACCTTGTGAAATGTTCATCGCAGTGGCATCGCCTTAACCTCAATCTACCTGTGCACCAACTCTCAAAACATAAATAATTATCAAAATATTGCTTGCAATGGATAGATATCGAGTTAACTAGAACATTAAGCGTATTTTTCAACAGATTCGAGTATGAATATGGCATTAAATCTGTTTTTGAAAGTTGGTGCACAGGTAAAAAGTGAGGTTACGCGACGCCACTAGTTCATCGATAAATCTTTAGGATCAGGCTGGGCGAGTTGACATGATTTCATCATAGCGAAACCATACATGAGGCGATTTGTTAATTCGTAGTCCGATCTAGAAATGTTCACGACCTCCCGGACCACAAAACATGCGAATAGACTTAAACGCTGTCCAGACTGGAGAGTTATAACATGTTATAACGGTTGTCAAATAATTGCAACACAGAAACCACCAGCAAGATAGCGCTATAACATGTTATAACTCTGTAGTCTGAACGTACTATTAAACGCTGTCCAGACTGGCGAGTTATAACATGTTATAACGGTTGTCAAATAATTGCAACACAGAAACCACCATCAAGATAGCGCTATAACATGTTATAACTCTGTAGTCTGAACGTAGCATTATAGTACGTTCAGACTACAGAGTTTTTTTTTTTTTTTTTTTTAAATGCGTTTATTTTTCCAGGCTCATTTGCCGTAGCTTTGCGGAGCCGATATTCATTGTTTGGATGACAAAATTTCTTAAAACTAACGTTAGTAAAGCGGGGGCCGATTACTCGCGGCTATCTCGAGGTTAGGGGTAACAAATTGTAACAAATGGATGGCAGGGTAGGGATTGAGAACACAAGGTTTGGAGAGCAATGTGCTTTTTATCTCGAACTAAGCGACCAACTGACGAAAAAGACAAACATGGGGGTACACCGATGGGCAGCTAACAACTTGGGGGAACACAAGATGACACTAACTACTAAATCCTCAGATCGATCCGTTTTAAAAACACATAAATTAAATTAAAATATTCGAGATCTCGGCTCGCCAAGATGTCTCTAACGGGCCGCATAGGTTGTTTTCCTCGGGCCCTGAGGGATGCGGATAACTCGGATCTAGCAACACAATGTAGGGTGCATGACCAAAGCACGTGGTCGATATCGTGATAGCCACTACCACAAGCGCACAAATTGCTGCCTGCGAGCCCGATTCGGAAGAAATGCGAGTCTAACGAGTAGTGATTGGACATGAGCCTTGATATGACACGTATAAAGTCACGGCTCATGTCCAATCCTTTGAACCATGGCTTGTTCGACACCTGTGGGAGAATAGAATGTAACCATCTTCCCAGATCACTCTCATTCCATTTTTGTTGCCAGTTGGTGAGGACGTGCTGACGGGTAATTGAGAAAAATTCCGCAAAGGCGATTTGTCGATCAAAAATATCGCCTTCCATAGCGCCCACCTTAGCTAGCGAGTCCGCTTTCTCATTACCCGGAATTGAGCAATGAGATGGGACCCAAGCTAAGGTGATAGTATAGGAGCAGTTAGATAAAGTACTCAGTTTTGCTCGGATTTCGGTCAGGAAATACGAGGAGTGCTTCATCGGCCTCATTGATCGAATAGCCTCCAACGAGCTAAGGCTATCAGTAAAAATAAAATAGTGATCAGATGGTAGTGAGGCAATTTGCTCTACTGCGTAAAATATGGCTGCTAGTTCCGCAACGTATACGGAACAGGGTTTTTGCAGTTGATATGAGGCGCTATGAAATTCGTTGAATACTCCAAATCCAGTGGAAGCGTTTATAGTTGACCCATCTGTGAAAAAACTCTTATTGTTACTAACATGGTGGTACTTGTTTGCAAAAATTAAGCGAACAACCATCGATCGATGGTGATCTGGTATTCCACGGATTTCTTGCAACATGGTCAGATCAAAATTTACAGAGGAACTATAAAAGTCTTGGAGGCAAACACGAGAGGAATTGAATGAAGAAGGGCCAATCTCCAGCGTCATGTACTCGTAATAGAGACTCATGAATCTTGTTTGAGGATTTCTGTCGAGCAGCTTCTCAAAGTTTTCTATTACTAATGGGTTCATTACTTCACAACGGATAAGAAACCGGAAGGACAGTTCCGCGAAACGATCTGTCAGTGGGAGAACACCCGCGAGTACTTCGAGGCTCATCGTATGCGTCGAGTGCATACAGCCAAGCGCGATTCGGAGGCAACGGTATTGAACCCGTTGCAGCTTCAGGATATGTGTTTTCGCCGCGGATTGAAAGCAGAAGCTTCCGTACTCTAGAACCGACAAGATGGTTGTTCGGTACAACCTGATCAGATCTTCCGGGTGTGCTCCCCACCAAGTTCCAGTGATTGTACGAAGAAAATTGATTCTTTGTTGGCATTTTTGTTTCACATACGCAATATGTTTTCCCCATGTGCTTTTGGAATCGAACCAGACACCTAAATACTTGAAAGATATACTTTGAGTGATTGTTCTACCCTTTAGTTGAAGCTGTAACTGTGCAGGATGATGCTTCCTAGAAAAAACAACCAACTCAGTTTTCTCCGGAGAGAATTCGATACCCAGCTTCATAGCCCAAGTAGACAAATTGTCTAAGGTATCTTGCAATGGTCCTTGCAGGTCCGGTGCACTTGGCCCTATAACGGATACAACGCCGTCATCTGCAAGCTGCCTTAGCGAGCAATTTTCATCAAGACAACCATCAATGTCTTTTACATAAAAATTATAAAGAAGGGGGCTTAAACATGAACCCTGGGGGAGACCCATGTAACTAATTCGTGAAGTTGTCGAGTTTCCATGAGAAAAGCTCATATATTTCTCAGACAACAAGTTGCTCAAATAGTTGTTCATAATTGGTGAAAGCCCACTATCGTGGAGTTTATCCGAAAGGACATCGATACAAACAGAATCAAAAGCCCCCTTAATGTCCAAGAAAACTGAACCCATTTGCTGTTTTTGCGCATAGGCCAGTTGAATTTCAGTTGAAAGCAACGCAAGACAGTCGCTCGTTCCTTTGCCTCTCCGAAATCCAAATTGCGTATCTGAAAGTAAACCATTCGACTCGACCCATTTGTCTAGACGAAAAAGAATCATTTTCTCCAACAATTTCCGTATACAGGACAGCATCGCGATGGGACGGTACGAGTTATAGTCCGACGCGGGTTTACCGGGTTTTCGAATGGCGATAACTCTTACTTGCCTCCAGTCATCCGGAACAATGTTGTGCTCCAGAAATTGATTGAATAAGTTCAACAAGCGTCTCTTCGCGACATCTGGGAGATTTTTAAGCAAGTTGAACTTGATTCTATCCATTCCTGGAGCTGAATTGTTACATGAAAGGAGAGCAAGTGAGAATTCCACCATCGAAAACGGGGAATCTATTTCGTTATTACCCGACGGACGATCACGAACGTTGGTTTGAACCGACACCGAATCCGGGCAAACTTTCCGCGCGAAGCTGAATATCCAACTGTCCGAGTACTCCTTGTCTTCGTTAATCGGTGATGACGCGTTTCGCATTCTCCTGCCGACATTCCAGAGTGTTCTCATGGAAGTCTCTCGCGACAAACCATCGACGAACCGACGCCAGTAACCGCGTTTTTTTGCTTTAATTAAGTCCTTAAAAGTTTTCTCGAGGTCGGTGTACCGCTCGAAATCCCCGACCTTGCCGTGTTTGCGGAACCGTTTAAACGCGGCGGACTTCTCGCTGTTCGCGTCGGTGCAATCCTTATCCCACCACGGGGTGGGAGGTCGCTTGCGGACGGAAATACCCGGAACACGTTTCGTCTGTGCTCGCAGCGCAGAATCGATGATTAGACGCGCGAGAAAGGAGTACTCGTCCAGCGGAGGAAGTACGTCAACCGATTGGCTGGCATCAAGAACCGCGGTCGCGAATTTTCGCCAGTCAATGTTTTTTGTAAGATCGTACGCGATGTCGACCGAACGAGTAGAAGATGAACCATTGGTAATAGAAATTTTGATTGGCAAATGGTCACTACCGTAGGGATCTTGAATTACTTTCCACGAGCAATCCAACGATAGTGAACTCGAACAAAGTGAGAGGTCTAATCTGCTTATTTTTGCTGGAGGTTTGGCTACTCGTGTTGCTTCCCCGGTGTTCAGAATTGTCATTTTGAAGAAGTCGCACATGTCGTATATCAAGGTTGAGCGGTTGTCGTCGTACAGTTCCCCCCAGCCTGTACCGTGAGAGTTAAAATCTCCCAAGATCAACCGTGGCTCCGGCATAGCCGTGCAGATATCCGAGAAACTTTGACGAGAAATCGCAGTTCGCGGTGGAAGATATACTGAGGCAATACTGAGGCATTTACCTCGAATATTAACCTGACATGCAACAACTTCAATGCCTGTCACCGAAGGCAGATCGATTCTGTAGAAGGAATGGAGCTTGTTGATCCCCAGAAGCACCCCTCCATACGAATCTGCGCGGTCAAGGCGAATAATGTTGAAATCGTGGAAAGCAAGATCGTTGTCTGAAGAGAGCCATGTTTCACAAAGGGCAAATGCATCAGAAAGTGAGTTGTTAACTAAAAATTTAAATGTGTCAAGTTTTGGCATAAGACTTCTACAGTTCCACTGAAGAACAGAGATCATATCCCCGACCTCATTCGGAGAATTATCCATCGAAAGATATGATCGATGCAAGGAAGGACCACCTAGAAGCTAGTTGCTTCAAAAGAGTTTTCACCATTGGCAGCACTAAATTAATAATGCTCCTCGTTGAGTCAGAGACATTGAATATACTGAAGAAGCTATCCACAATACCAGAAAACGTGAACATGGGGGCATGTTCTTGCTGATTATTCAGCTGCTTTTCTGGCCGAAAAACTGGGACATCTGGGGTTTTAGATGATCCAGGAAGTGACGGAAAGTTCTTGTCATAATTGCAAGGTTTAAAACCCGGTGGAATGGGTTTCGGTGTATTTCCGTTACCTCTTGAATTTTCCAAGGTGGAAGGGTGGTCCGTACGAGTGGCCTTACGAGGCTTTTCGGTGGTGTGTTGTTTTGCTCGTTTTCTCGTATTGCCTTTAAAGACAAACGGACTACCCTCACCGCCCTCTGAGTCAGAGTCTAGATCATCAACTGGCAAAATGGAGAACGTGTTACTGTTTTTTGGTGTGGTCTGAGAAGATGAAGCGGTATGCTTCAAGAGTTCTGCTAGTGTTCTCTTGGAGCGAGCTTGCAGAGACCGCTTAAGTTTTTCTCCCTGCTGTTTATACCTCGGGCAGTTAGTCAGGGTATGCAGGCTCTCCTTGCAGCACACGCATTTTGGTGGAGCACCGCAAGGGCCCTCTTGATGTTGCTCGCCACACTGATCGCAGCGTGGTTTGTTCGAGCAGTAGTCCGATGTATGACCAAGTTGTTTACATTTCGAGCAGTTCATTACCCGAGGTACAAACAGGCGTACAGGCAGCCGAACCTTGCCAATAGCGACGTAGTGAGGTAACGCTGAACCCGAAAACGTCACACGAAACGAGTTTGACAAGGAATAAGTTTTTTTGGAGCCTACTACGGATACTGACTGCATTTGAAGGCAGTCCAATATCTTCACCTTCGGCAGAGCACGGTTTTTAAAGATTCCGAAGGAATCGGGACCCAAGAAATCATCACTAGTCAAGCTCGCTTCGGTGACCACTCCTTCAATTTCTACCTCACTACTGGGTATGTAGACTCGGTATTCCAATGAAAAAAGCTCGCACGCAACAATTTGGTTAGCCTGCTTCCGGTCATCAACGGTAACGCGCAGTTTTATTGGTGTTACCTTGAAAATATCGGTAACGGCCGAAAAATGTGTTGTTAGATCCTTAGAGATCCTCGGAATGTTCAAAGGTTTTTGTTTGGGCCGGAAAAAAAACAACCCATGGGCCTTTCGAGGCTTCTGGGTAAGCCTTTAGGCGGGGGAGCGCAGAGGTTTTTGGGGGCAATGGTGTGGGGGGTGCAGGTGGACGAGGAGGAGATGGTGGGGGAGAGGGTTGTGGGCGATACCTTTTCTTGGGATATGCTCCAGTATTTTTGCTGGAGAGCGAGTCAACTGGAACGTCAAGGGTTTCCATTTCCACAACTTCCTCGAGACTTTCGTGTGAGGTGGAATTAAGAGTTTCGTCGTCTGAGATGGAAAGCGACCATCCCCCGCCTTTATCATTTTCATCCATTGCGGTTAAATATCGCCGCAATGGTGTTTTTTGTAAAAAATTTTTACAAATAATTGCAGTAATTTCAAATAATATCAAAAAAAAAATATATATATATATAGTTTCACTCTACTAACGAGTAATACATGCAAAGAAAAAAAATCAAAAAAAAAATAAATAAAAAAAAAATAATGATTATATACTATTTACAGAGTTTTGGATCACCCTAAGTAATACAAAAATAATAATAAAAAAAAATCAAGAAAAAAAAATCAAGCGAAAAAAAAAATTGGATTTTTGGATCACCCTAATTAAACACCAATCTAATATTGGACTGGCGAGAACAATACAAACGACACGATTTATACCTAACGCACTGAGGCGGCAGCAGACTGGAGAGATATAATTGTTTGATCCAACTGCTGCAGAGTCAATAACCTCGATGCTGGTGTGCCTCGGTCGACTCGGTAGGCAATATGACGCTCTTTCGTTGTTGCTATCGGTGGGGTGATGTACCGATAGTGGTGATGATTTTGCTGATGATGTTGCGATGATGCTGGGTTAAAGCTGGACCGTAATGAAAGCACTCGGCATATCATTAACGGCTTCCTCACTCGCGCACTAGTCGTCTAAACACTATGCCAATTAACTTTGGCGAGAAAAAACCCTCGCGTGGGGAAAAACTCAAAACTAAATGACAGTGTCGTACAACGAGACCGATGCGACTTGATCGGCTCAGCGTGCGAGACGGAATGAGACTACAGAGTTATAACATGTTATAGCGCTATCTTGATGGTAGTTTCTGTGTTGCAATTATTTGACAACCGTTATAACATGTTATAACTGTCCAGTCTGTACAGCGTTTTATAGAAAGCTTTCAATCGCCAACTGTGCGCAAAAAACACTTAATTGAGGCCAGTTGTATTGTTTCAGCTGAGACAAAGTAACCCAGAAGAATAGAAAAAAATCTCACCCTATCAAGCCCAGAAATGATTTTTTTTGTGCATTACACATTGTACTTTAAAATCACCTATTGGGAGACCTATACACTCGTAATGGTACATAGCAGCTTAGCCATTAAATCTTCCCTACCTACCTTAACCAGATTGGCATTGATGTAGTCAGTCTCGCCTCGCTTCAGCACGATCCGGGAGTGGTCGTAGGGGGACACATCCCGATATCGGTTCAGTCGTCTGTTGTCCAGCTTTTTCGACTCATTGGTTGAGAAATCCTTCTGTCGGGCTTCCTGTTCGCTCTTCTCCCGGATTTCCTGAAAATAAGAAACAAGCAATTATAGGAACAGTTGAAAACAAGGTCAGAAAACGAAATCCATAGCGCTGGAAATCGAAGTGGAACGGATATGACTTGTAGCAGCACCCAACCGAACCGATCGAAATTGAACCGACCCGTTCGTTGCCGTTTGGTAGATGATGGTGTTGGGAGTGAGAGGAGAGCAAGGAAAAAAAGGCGCAAATAAATATATTTGTGGCGGTATATTTAGAATGGGAAAAACAATCGAATAAAGCCGATCGCCGACCGAAAGTTTTACAAATGGCAAGTGTCAATTCCATCAAATTTAAATAGTAGTTATTCCGTTAGATTGTAGCATCGACCCACACTGACCCAGACAGCAGCGTTTCGTTTTGTTTGCTAGATCAATGTTTTCGTTATTGTTTCGAACGGTATCATGAGTAAAGCTTCGTCACGGCGGAATGCAATCGACGTGAATGACAAAGTTTAGACAGAATGGTGGAAAACGCGGGGAGGACAAGTGAGAGCAGGCTCTTCGCAGGTTGTCTGTTTAATGCATTCTATTTCTATTATACTAGGTGGTAGATGCTGCTATTGGCATACATGGAACTCAGTATGGCGACGTAGTTAGTGTTTGGTACACTGGAGTCGGTTGTTTCGTGGGGGATATGTAGCGCGCAAAAACCGACCAACCAAGTTCACATGCTAAAACATTTTTAAATGTGTGGATTATGTTATGCATTTTATTTTAAATCTGGATTTACACCGAAAAGTACGTCAATTGATTACTTTTGCCCCGAAACCGGATAACGTGATTGGAATTAAGTCGTTAAGATGTACCATTTGCGAGAAATTCGTTAAAAACGTACCGCGTAAAAACCGACTCCAGTGTACTTAGGTTTTGCATTACTTTTGTGCCAGTCAGTGTTCTCATTGGCATGCTCAATTGTAGATACAACACAACACATGCTTCTTTCTTTGTTGGCAACTTCAACGGCAGCAGCGGTGTCTCGTCTCGTCGTCTAGCTGGAGAGCTTTCACAAAATTGCACTTTCACAGAGGGACCGCGCTTCCAAGGACATTTACGCCGTAAGTGCGCCATACTATGCCTGGATCCATAAGCTGAATATGGCATGGCATTCTGTACAAATAGCTTCAAATTCATCATGATTTGTTGTAAGGAATTAAAGGCGACACAATGGTGCCGTAAATGGTACTCAATAAATTGTCCATCACCGAGAAATGGGACCCTATCAAAAAGCGGAATCTCAAAAGGCCTAGACGACCAAACTTAAAATCGTCTTACGGATTGAAACATTGCCGATAAGAATTTGGGACTTAAATAAATGTTAGAACGTTTTACGTTGAAAATGTTTTAGGAACTACACAGTTCAAAAAAGAGCGTCACATCTCATCTAAGCTTACATTATTATTAAAAAATTTCATTTTGAAATTCCCGGTCCCGATTTTTCCGGTTCAAATCTTAAAAATTCCCCGATTTAAACGAAAGTATTCAATGATTATTTGTTTTAAGGTAACCAAGTGGAAATTTGCAATAATATTTGTGGGTAAATTATTTTCAATTGCAATACTACAGGAAACCTATTTCAAAACTGAAAGTATAATTCAACTAAAAGGCTAGTTTGATAATTTTGTTTTTGCCCCTATAGGATTGCAATGATCGGGGTTGGTTTTTGAAAATTTTCAAGGGACTATGCCGGACGACTAATCTATGGTGACCGCATAAACGTCGGGCTATCGAAATCACCTCGGAAAAACTCAAAAACTCAAAACTCATGTATGAGTTAAGGTGCCTATGAGTTTTGCCGATGTTTCTGGAAGGAGATTCCTTACTGTCCCGTAGATGAGTATAGAGCTTTGGACGTCTAAACGGCGCACACTAATGCACCATTTAAACTGAAGGAGTGTGAGCAAGAGAGAAACAGATTAGTGGGAAAACAAACCAACCGTTCATTCCTGTGTGCTGGATAGAGAAAGACGATCAAACGATCCACCCAATCCGTTTTTGATCCTTCATACAGCGACATGACCATCAGAGGTTATTAAGCTTGACCAAGACAAACAGAGAAAAGAGCCCACTGCTATCGGACTTAGTTTCCGTGCTACACCTGGTGGTAGACCACCATCATGCTATCATATGCATATGGTCAAGTTCGTTATCTAAAATTTGTTATCTATGAGTTTTGCCTTGCAAAACTTAACAGCGCAAAAATCACGGATTAATTTTCAAGTTCAAAAATGTATTGCTTTATATGTTGACGCTATTCATTGATATAATTATTGTTTTTGCAACAGCGGATCGAAAACAAACACAAAATTCATAAGCATGCTATGAATTGACGTTTAAGTGATTTCTATGAGTTTTAAGCTGGAATGATTTTTGGCGTTGTGAGTGTGAGTGCGTGAATATGCATAAGAATTTCAAGTATGAGTTTTGCTTGCCATATTCTCACGTGAGTTTATTCTCTCAGAGAGGCTCAATGGATGAGATTTGATAATGATTTTCCGAACACTGGTCAATGTCATCGTCTTTGTCGATGTCTTTACGTTTGTCATTGTCATTGTTATGAGTGTTTTCTCAATGTGTATTTTTTGTCAATGTCAGTATTGTTAGAAGTTATCACTATTATACTTCTTCCTATATCCAACAATATTAAACATAAAAAAGTTTTGTACAAGTACATACCATAACTTGCTATCCACGTTTGTCTACGTCACTAATACTAAATTTCAATTTCCAATGTTATGACAAAAAGTTACTCAAAATAACAGCCCAGCGTTTAAACAATTACTAACAAATATTACCTAAATCGTTTCCAACCAGAGCCGAATATCTGATTTCTGGTGATTTATCTATTTTTTATCATAATTACAGCAAAGCAAAAGAAAATTGAAAATATTTACTACAGACAAAACGCGACTACAAATAACTCCAAAAGATATTCTCACAAATATATTTGACGTACTAATTCTTCATTATATGCTATTTCTCGCTAGCTTTCTATAACATCCATGGACAGCTTTGAAACATCTAATTAATCTTGGAAATCTATCAGATTTTTATTAGTAAAAATAAAAATCAACTGAAAGCTTATCAATGAAAACAATGGCGACAATGGCTGATTAATTTACGTAAAAACAAGTAATTAATATTAAATCTCTTGTAACGCACGCAATTGACTGTAACAAAAAAAAAGTATATTTTAATAATAAATAATTAAATAAATAAATACCTAATAAAATTATAAAAAAAAAATAAAAGAAAAATTACTAAAACCATTACGGTATTGATGAGAAGTTTCTAATAAGCCCTCCCAGTTCCTCTGTTTCCGGAACAGTATGTCTGCAAGAAGCAACCCGTTTCATCGAGGAAGTTCTATTAACAATCAAGAATTTTAATCGTTTTTTTTTATTATTATTTTTTTAGGATGTACCCAGTGGAACAAAGTTCCTTTGAAGGGATCCTCAACTCATAAACAATTCAAATAATTAATATATACAATTTAATATCTTAAGCTTAGCGTAAAGAGTGTAAATTTTATAATTATAAATCGATAGTTGACACGAATTTATATCAAGAACTCGTTGATTTTGGATTTGTAGTATCGCTTTAAACTGGTTTTGAAAAATTGTCGGTTGTTTAAGTTTTTCTAACATTCCGGAAGTGCATTGTACACAGATGGACCATAAAAAGAAATTCGTATTTGACCGAGGCATGTGAATGCTCTCGAGCGTATTAGGTTATTCGCATACCGAGTGTTATGATCATGATTTGTGATCGGTAAAATGAGGTTACGATGCATGTTGGGATTTTTTAGCGAATCATATATAAACAAACAAGACTGTAACTTGCACAAACCGCGTAACTGGAGAATACTGTGCGAATTATTTGCGTAGAGTTGAATAGTGGAAAACAATTGTGGAAGGTGATAGATGATTTTTATGCACCTATTTTGCAATACTTGCAATTTTTTAGTTTAGCCTTGCAAGCATGTCCCCAAACGATGATTAAGTACTGCAGATGAGAATGAATACAGCCATGATAAAAAGTTAGAAGTGCGTTCCTAGGCACAAATTTACTAACACGATACATTAGGCCACATAGAGATGATACTTTGCGTTGTACATGTTCTATATGATCCCCCCAAGAAGAAAGTAGGATCTAATACCAAGCCCAAATATTTAAAACTTGATACTTTCTCTATTACGTTAGACCTAATTGACGGACTGTTGTGACATTAGGTTTACTGAAGTATTATGAAGGTGATGATCAGTTTAAAGAGAGAGAGAAGGATTAGTAATTTCCATTTAATTCCACCACCTTATTTGTTTATCCTTGACAGATACGCGTATTTCTTCTACAATGTCAGTGTCTTGACAGTGTCTTGTGCTAATACTCGACTGAACAAAACATCGCAACTCACCGAATATATATATATATATTAACTTAGGTAAATTTTCACTTAGAAGCTAGGTGAACTTAAATCCAATCTCCTGTCCTAGGTAGTAACTTAAAAAGCCATGTATGTCCGTTTTGATCCCTGTTGAGTAAAGTTGAATTCCGTTGTTTGTTGAGCTCGAGGCTCTCTGCAACATCCAATTTGCATGGTGTAGATACGGTTCGTAAAATTGTGATGTCCTAGTCGATAGTTGGTGGTCCTCTGTGAAGATGTGTTCTGCAACCTTTGATTTTTTAATTGGGTATCAAGCTGGAGCTGCGTGACAGCTTAGTTTTCAAGACTTGACCCATTTGAATAAATTTTGCTTTTATCTCTGACAATACAGCAGAAGGACTAGCCTATGTTGGCAGCTTTAACACTGGGTTCAGTGTGTATTGTTTCAAGATAGTAATGGAAAAAATGCTGTAACGTGTGCGCGTAGATAAAATCACGTAGTAAACCGATTGAATAAGTAAATCCGTTTCGAACGAAATAGGGGAAATGTTGGCTTCGGCAATACCTTAACCTATTATCGTCAGGGGGTAAACAAAGTCCTAGA